AGCCCGGCCCCCCCGAGCCCGGTCCCCCCGAGCCGGCCGCTGTGGGTAGCGGAGACAGACCCAGCGTTGTGCCCAACTCGTACCGGCCCCGCCAGGCGCCCTCCCGGCGGCGTTTCCGAGGGAAAGCCCAGCCGGGTTTGCCTGCGCGTTTCGCCCAAGCCTGCGTGGCAGCGGGTGCTGGCACGGCAGCCCCACGGCTTAGGATAAACAGGCTGTGGGCCTGTAGGCTGTCTCGGGTTCTTTTTCCCGCTATCGCAAAGCTGGATCTGCCCGTTCTAGAGATACAAAATGTGCCCTGTGCCTCGGGCAGCTGAGAGACCTGACCAGGCTTTTCCCTCTCCATGACCGCCAGGGACAGAGGATGCAGCAGGGTTGTTTTGAGCAGGCCGGTTGTCTCATGCCAACATTCAAAGTTCACCTTTATGCCAAAGACTTTCAACACTCAAAGCAAAACAGTGGTTTTATAATAATCTTGGTGGTTAACAGCAGTGGTATTGTTTCGCAGGAAAGTGGCTTGTTTTTCTGCAGGGAAAAATGGCAGCTTCTCCCTGTTGACTTTGCTGTTAATATGGGAAACATGTTGTCTTTTCATCTTATTTTGTAGTATTTGCAGCATTTTGCTGTATCTTTGGATTGTTATCCCAAATGGACACAGGGGTGTTTAAGATCTCAATAACAAATAGAGAACTATCACTGAGAAGTTTTATAACATTTAAAGCATTAATTACATTTCCAAACAGATTTTTTGCAAAGTTGGATTTAAACACTTTCTTGCTTGTCCTGCTGTGGGCACCTCCTGGGCTGTACTATGAAGAGTAGTGGTGCTCCTACATCTGAGGTACTGTGTCTAGTCTGGGGCTCATCAGTACAAGACAGACATTCATACAGTGCCTGAATTCCAGTGGAGGCCACCAGCTGGTGAAGGGGCTGGAGCACATGACAAGGGAGGACGGGCTGACTGAGCAGGATCAGTTCAGCCTCACAAAGAGGAGGCTGTGGGGAGATGTTATTGCAGTCTATGATTATGTCATTGGAGGACATAGCAAAGCTGGAGCCAGATTCTTCTTGAAGGTAAATAGTTGTAGGGCAAGAGGGAACAAGCACAAGTAGGAACATGGAAAATTCCCGTTACTGGTTACGAAAAAGGATTTTTGCCATGAGGGTGGTCAGATACTAGAAGGAGTTGCCCAGAGAGGCGATAATCTCTTCAGCTTTGGAAGCATTCAGGAACCAACTAGACATGTCCCTGCCTAACCTGATCTAATTAGATCTGTTTTGAGCAGGGGGTTGGGTTAGATGACCTCTGGAGATGGCTGCCAGCCTAAATTACTTTACGATTCTGTAAAGCCCAGTTCTTAAATACTTGTAAAATATAGTTGATTGGTTAGGTTTTCATGTTCATTTGCAGCTTGCTTTGAAGCCTGTGTGTGTCTGTAATGGCTTTTACACAGCTGAACTTGATGCTTCCTGTAACGTGTCTTAATATAATTTCTTTCATAGTAAGCGATGGATTGGAGCTGAGGCCAAAATACAATGGGATTCTCCACTGTATGACCACTGTCTGGAAGCATGAAGGATTACGAGGCTTATATCAAGGGGTAATTCCAAACATGTTGGGAGCAGGGGCTTCCTGGGGACTTTACTTTTTCTTGTAAGTAAAGCTGTAAAATGTGTCGTATCCTGTACGCTATAATTTTCAGATATACACATCTTTGGGGAGAATAACAATGTGCTAAGTGGCTGATAAACTTGTGGGGGTTTTAGTAGTCAGATCTGTTACCCTTTGTTGTGGTTTGGCGTTCAGAATTCCAGCTGAGTCAGAGAGCTGTCAGTTTGTCAAGTACAGTGCATTCCCTTGATGATGCAAAAATACTAATAAGCTTGAGAGATGGCAACATCATTCACAAAGAATCTTCTGAAAGTGCCAATACACTGCTTAAAATCTCACAAAAAATAAAATCCTAAACTGGCATGGTAAGGATTAAAGAACATGATAAGGTTTTCTGCTAAAGCTAAATGCTAAGTGATTTTTAATCATTTTAGTGACAGTCAATTCCTTAATCATTTCTGTGAGTTGATGGGCTTTGCTAATAAAGCCTGTTTTAAAATACTCAATCTTTTCTACTTTATTAGCTTAACTGTGACCTGATTTACTGCAATCCCTGTTAATTGAATGCTTTAGGGAACAGTTAGTTGGTGTGCCCATGCAAACCTCATTTGTCAGTTATCTAGACTGTTATTGTTGTGCTTCAGTCCTCAAGCTTTCCTATAGGTTCCTGTTGACAATTCAGCTCCTGTTGATAGTCTCTCAATCCACAGACTGGAAACTGGATCAAGAGAGGAAAGCTCAAGTGTATTTCCAAACTAGGAGATAGATTCCTGACACTGTTGTTCCCAATAAAAATGAGACAATCTAATAATTTTCTTTTACAAGTTAACTCTTGAGGTCAGATAACTACTTCAAGATGCTGTCCCATTGATACTGTTGGTTAATACTTTATCAATTTAAGTATGTATTATCACAGGTCACTTTAAAGAGCCAACTGCTCAGACATGAATTAACTAAAACAAAATAGTTTACTTAAACATCTGTTTTCAAAGGTTATGTGCCCCCTGATGTTTTTTGTGGTCTTAAGTGACTTATTTTGTGGGTTTTTTTAGTGATAGAGGTTTGTTTTCACCTTTACCAAAATATATTTTACTTTTTCCAGTTACAATGCCATCAAAGCTTACAAGAAGGAAGGGAAGCTGGAAAGTCTCAGTGCAACTGAACACCTAGTGTCAGCTGCAGAGGCTGGTGAGTTGAAATGCAAAGAAGATTAATTTTTACTTCTAGCCTTTCCATATGCTGCTGCCCACCTTTGTCAGGGCAGTTTTTTTGTTACAGGTGGCCAGGGTAAGTGTTCGGGTCCAAATGCAGTTACTTACTGTCTGTAGATAAATTAATGATGCTAAAACGAATAAGTGTATCGCTGCTGTCTTTTCAGTTTTGCTCAGAAGTAGCAGTTGTGAGAAGAACTTTTGACCTTGTTTTCATTGCATACAAGCATTTTCCGTATTTAGTACTATATTGAGTCCTAAAATACAAGTATATACACCTGCTGTTAGCAGCCACTTAACTCATTGAAAGTTAAACAGACCTGGAAAAGAGAAGGCCTATTCAAGTTAACAGAATAAGTAAATTGCTCATTGGTCTTCAAAAATCTTTATCTGTGCTCCAAGTTTTCTTTGAAACTAAAGATCTGAAATAAAAATACAGCTTCTCTCAGCAAGATTTTAATATGTTGTTTCTAACATACCTTCTTGCACATGCTTCTGTGCTGTACTTCATCTAGGCAA